ATTTTAAACCGTTTGATTTTTGTATTAAAGTTTTTTTAATTGATTGATGATTGATTCAATCAACTAATTTGTTGATTGTATTAACTTGATTCTTTAGATATTGAAAATTAAATAAATAACATTATGTTAATTTAAGCGTACAGAAACGTTGCTGTTGTTCCAGCAAAGATCTTATTTTCACTTTACCGAGTGCCTAGTAGGTAATTCGCAGATTACCTAGATAATCTGCAGATTACCTAGGTAATTTGAGAAATGGAATAATTTTTGGAGCTTTAACGGATCACCCTAGTTAATCTGCAGATTAGCTAGGTAATGTACACATTAACGGATTTCGAGCTTTAGCGGTAACATATACATTACATCATATATCAGGCTAAAAACACAAAAGTTCAAAATTTATTTACAATCTTTTCATATTAATTCTGATATTTTAAACAAATTTTATTTTGCATATCTGTTTTTATCATTACTTATTTACATAATTACAGCTGTGTTAGAATTTATAAGTATAATTCAATTGATTAGTATATTGATATTTAGAATTTATTGATTTATTTATGTGTAACTTATCTTACTTGATAAGTTATCAAACATTTACACATAAATAAACCAATAAATTTGATTTTGAATCAATAATATTGTAAATTAATTGAAAATTACATTATTTAGAAAAAAGCTATGCTAATGATGACAATCATATCAATGCAAATGCTTTTAGATTTTAAAATCAAATTTTAAAGTAATTTTAAGTTCTCACAGTAAATATGATTTGATGATATCAAATATTTCATTTAAACTCTTCGCTACTAGATTTTACAAGTAAAAAATTTTAATATGACAATAGTTTCAAATGACACCAAATACTTTCATTAAAGTTATGCAACAAGTCAGTGAGGTACATGTCATCCACTACAATAGTGGATTACACAATGTATTCCATAATAGACAAATATTTATTAGCATTAGTATTGGACAAACATTCTGCTCAACATTAGATTCATATTTGTAGTAATTCAGTTAAATATATATCAGATAATCTGCTTTAAGATTATTAGATGAAAAATCAAAAAACAACTCAGTTTGCATTAACTTTCATATGTAACTTTCTTTGTTGGAGTTTGAGAGTTTTAAGATGCTTAAGTTTGTAATTAATAATTGACCTGATTTTTTTTCTCTTATTGCTGCAAATAAACATTTTGTATTGTTTTTCACAATGGTACAAAATATAAAAATTAGAATAATAGCTTTATATATATATAGCATATTTTGCACTTTTACCAATCAATCCTTTGTTGGTAAATGTGCAAGTAATGGTGATTGAGAATGAATGGTAGATGAGATTCAAAAAAACATAGATACAAATACAGATTTTATACTTGAATACTGTTAATAATTCATAGTAAGACACCAACCAAAAGCCGTAAATCAATCGTTCATGTAATGATGTGAGAATCCTTTTAAGATAATTATGAATTAATAGAGTAGAAATTTTAAATTATATTTCAATTAGTGATGTAACGAATATTCGGTTACTATTCGGCCTATTTTTCACTATTCGGCCGAATACCTAAAAACAGGAGTAAGAAATAACAAAAACACAGTAAATTCATCATTTTATATTTAGATTTAATGTTATCGGGTTAGTGTTGTTTGTTTATATTTATTTATAACTTATAACAAGCACAAAATAAAAAAGAACATAATATTAGTCACTTGTATTCACAATTTATAATTACAAAGATCAGCACATGTACACACCTATTCGTTCAAAAATCGTCGCACATGTGAGGGTCTGACCCTGCCTATCCTCCTTTTTAAGCACTCGTCTTTGCTCTTCACTTTCTTTTTCCTCTATTGCTCTAGTCCACGTATGCCTACGCATACATCATAATACGCGCTCACGATACTTTCGATTCGTCACTTTTCCGTCATAGATTTCCCATTTTACAATTGTGTGACCCATAGCCTGGTGATAACGGAGAAAAGAGACAGATAGGACGTCGGTATAAGTCACAGTTATGATTTCACAGATTCGAAACAGCTTGGTAGCCCGAACGACCCCAGGCATTCACCCGTGCATGTTAAGTGACTTTCATTACAAGCATTTAGCTTTCTGATGTCTATGACAACAATTCTTTGGCATTCAGGGCCGTGAAATTTGCGCCAATAAGCTTGATAACATACTGTGAATTTCACGCCAATATTGAGTTGATAACATAATCGACTTGTTCGATTATGTTATCAACTCAATTTCATATTTATTTTCACATTTTCACTTTGCGGTCCTTCTCTGTTCTTCTTCCATTATTTGCATGTTTAGGTCATTTCATTGTTATCCACATTTGATATCATCACTTATCACATACTGCCATGACGCTCTTGTCTGAACTGCCAAGAATTAACACGATTGGCAAAGCGTAGTGACAGCGGGCCAATAGAAAGCAAGATCCTTGCCATAATGCGGTTTGCGTGCCAATTTTCGTACGTGCGTTAATCGAGCCGAATATTTGGCTATTCGGCCTCAGGCCGAATATACTATTCGTTGCAACACTAATTAAAATTCATATTTGACTGGAGAATCTTATTTTATAACATATAAGTATCTGTTATTTCTTTTAACCTCCATAATTTGATGCAAAATTTTATAGATAATGGATTAACATTTGTTAACCTGCTTACTATTTTATTGCACTGCATTTGCATTGCTCACACTTTCCATATATTTTTTTTTTTCATGTTTAATATTTTTACATCAGAAATTCCGTATAATTAAATATCTACAACACATACATATTTTCATGCAAATGTATTTAGGTGTAGGTAATTATTATATAGATAACATTAATTTATAGCTTTTTGTGATGTTTTCTCTATAACAACAGCAGTCAACACATAGCTCTTAAATACCAGCAATGTCATTTCTGTGAGATATCTTTTGTAAAAATTAATAATAATAATAATGATTCATGATTACCATACAGGATCAGGTCATAAATACTAAAAACTACAGAAAACACATACTCAAAGATACAACACTCACAAATGACACATGAAGAAAACCCATTAAACCCACATAATAATAATGTTATATGAGAATGGTTGGAACCATTAATTTTATTACACTTACTTTAAGAGTGTTAAAATCTGATTGGCAATAGTCAAATAACAAGGACATTTGCAGAGCTTGAAATATCTAAATTTCCACTTCTGGTCTATAATAATAGGTTTTGACTAAGTTTTTTAATAAGTATTATATTTATAAAGTCAAAGTAATAAAATTATAAACTTCATTTTCTTATTGCAGTTCTATCACTTTTATACTAAACCAAATGATCATCATAATTAATCAGGCTATTAATTTCTATTTATTAATAATTATGATTACTTATATAAAAGCCATTGTCTGTGTGTATGTGTGAATTCCTTATTGACTCCTGTAGTTTTTGTCCAATCCACATGAAATTTTTGTTATATTCGTTTTATATTCTGACGGAAAGTATAGGCTACTTATTTTGCAGAAATATTAGCTATAGAATAAACATTTCATCGATTTTGGATCAATGATCTCAGTTACATCAGTGACCTTATTTAGTTTGTGCTTGACGACAGAATTTCCCTTAAGTTACATTTTAAAATATTTTGGCAAATGGCATATGTTAAACTTACTTCATTAAATTTAAACTTTAAAAAAGATAGCCATATCATGTCACTTCTATAACAAATTTAAAAAAAAATCTTTCCATAGTACCTATGTGATGTTCCATTATCCAATCAAAAGTAAAGTCTAACGAGTCTGTTATTCAGAAAGTGTTATCACTCATCTAACTAATATACATACAATTTATCTTTGTTTTATCAATATGGAATTAAAAAGACTTGCTATTTAGTCCAAAAGAAATGCCTAGGGGCAAGCATAAGATTAAAATTGGTCAGGTAAATTCTAATCTAAAAGAATAAGAACAACTGAGACCCTGAAGACTGTGAAATCCCAACTTTAGCCATATTCAGTAAGAACTGGACTGCAAGGACTGCAGAAACAGCATCACAACATCAAGCTCAACTTGAAGCTCTTCTCAATTCTTCAATCTCAACTTTCTCATAAAAAATATTTCATTTTGCTTGACAGGAGAATTTGGTGAGCCACATTATGGTGAGCCACAATTTAGGCAAACATACTTTTAAAAAAGTAAAACAAATACAAAATGAATAAGATTTTATTGTTATACCAAGAGTTTGTACTTGCACTTGTGCATTATAACAATGACACATGCAAATTTTCATTTATTTAATTGTTTTGATATGCACATAATGAGAAACAAAAGTTTTAATAGATATATAATATCGCTTAGTGGGCCACACAATTTAACATGACGGGCTGCGGGTTGGCCAGGCCTGATTTACATCAAGAATAAAAAAACAAAATAAAAATATGCTATATATAAAAAGAAATAGTAGTTATGTATGGTCATTGTTTTGACATTTCCTTCTGGGTTATTTTAACATGATTTCTAAGCCATCACTAATGATTCACAATTCTTGTGGTTGATGCACTTATTTATTGTTGCTTTAAAAATCTTCAGTACCTCTATTGCTTTGGTATTGTTCTTGTTAAAGTTCTGTTTAATCAATTTTGTTTCTCTACACTTAGCTTTAACACTCAGTTCAGAGATATATTTAGCTAGTAAAGTGCATTGTTTGTGATCTTTTAGTCTACTGGAAAGCAATCTGTTTGTAGCATTAATGTACACTATATCATGTTGAATCTTTCATCCACTACTGTGATACAATATATCCCCAGTATTCTAGGCAAATTTATACTGTTTTCATCATTGTGTAAAAGTTGGTATATAATGCTATTATGTCAATATGTTAGTTCTCCAACATTCTTTTCTGTCTTCATGTGGGTCTTGTGTCATAGTGAACAACTATATGTTTGGACTCCAGCTAAATCCAGGCATATAGTGAATGCTATTTTGAAGACCAAAATAGCTTTCACTTCTACAGTGATTGAACACAGTTTGAAAAATATAATGAAACATCTGCCAAGGCTAATAATGTAGAATGTGTATTAAGAGAGATAAACAGTAAATTTTTGCTGTTTTTTAACATTGAGAATTATATAAAGCAAAATGAATGATTATTTTAATTTTGTATTTTGCTAATAAGTATTAACCATTATTTTATATTTTAAATGGTACTTTTAATTTTAATTTAGATTGTAAAGATAAACGAAGAAGTCAAATAAATGTAAGTTTTGTTATTTCAATTGATTGTTAAATACTTTTAAAAATATGCTCAATAAGAATTTATCAACTATTTGAACATTGCTCTTGTTTTAAATTTTGTATTTTAATATTTTTCTTCTTTGTTTTTATCATTTTCCACATCTTGTATGGGATCACTATTTTTTATCAAATGCTTTCACTTTCTTTTGCTCACCTCCTTTTTAATCAATTCTTTGCTTCTAAATTAATCTTTATACAATCTTTTTCATCTTTTCTTTAACTTATCATTATTCCTTCTTTCAACTTCTGTCTCCATCATCCTGCTATCCACATAGTTATCATCTCATAATAAAACTGTACTATTGCCACCAACTTTTGAATATTTTTGATATTTTTGCTTCTTTAGCAATTCTTTAGCCTTTCATTCCTGATTTTTATCTAATTTTGTTGCACCAGTCTGATCTTCAGGAAATAATCCTCTTCAACTAGATAGGGAAGTGGAAGGGGTTAGTCTAAAGCAGTGTTTTCCAAAGTGATCCCTATGGACTCCTGGGGGTCCTTGGCAAATTAAAATTAATTTTGGGGTACTTGGACAATGTTGAAAGGTTCAATAAAAAGTAAAATGATTGCTTTCATAATGAAAATGGGTCACATACATTTATTGCATACATTGTCATTCTAGAATTTATTTTGTTTATAGAATTTTATACATTTATTTAATTTTTCTTTTTAACACTTACCCTGCTACGAATGTAATATTACGTTTCAGGAAGTCTTTGGTAAAACATGAAAAACGTAATATTACGTTCTTCCATATATCAAGTTATTTTTAGCTTTAAAATGTAACATTATGTTTTCAGCAATGAAAATACAATTTATTTGTGTATTCTAGTGTGTCTGTTAATAAATAGTTAGCACAATTTATTTAGAAATTTGAAATATAAATGATTTTTTACAACTGTGATCATCGTTTGATTTAAAGTTTCGTCGCCATGTTTTGCAAGCGAATTTCGAATCGTTTTATTTTTTATATGAGTTAAGTTAAATATGGCACATTAACGTACTAACTAATAATTGTTTGAATTGATTAATATAAAATCAACAAATATATTGCCAATTATATTGATTTATCTGATGAAAATATTGCGCGTTAGGCCTAAATCTTATGATTTAGGCCTAACGCGCAACATAAGATTTAGGCCAAACTGAGATTGAAAAAAAATATAAATAAGCCATGTAACTTCGTTATTATTTTAAAACTGTATAATTTATATTCATATTACANAAGTATTTGTTCTTTACTCTGAAAACCAATTAGTTTTATAATAATTATTATTAATTTAATGGTAATTTTAACATAAGATATCTAAGATAATTTGAACTCTCATGGATTTTAATGTTCTTTAAATTTAAAATGACATTTTTTTCCCCCCAGTTTTTTCAATGGAATATAACATTGAAGATTTGTTGCAAGCTTATAGCTTGACGAAATTTAAAATATTCTAGTGAAATGCTACTAACCTAGTCATAGTAGACTGAAAACTTGAGGAATTCACTACATACAGCATGGGAAATAAACTTTCTTGCTGTACTTGTGGTAGTCCTCGAGTAGATAGAAGAGCAGAAGACAGTTACTTACCAGAAGCAGAAGTACATCAAGATGAGAGCATTTCAAATTTACAGCATATTAGTGAAAGAGAACCAGAGGGTAAAATATAGTATATAATAAATAATACTTTAAATTTAAATAAAATGAAATTATTTAAAACTAATATTTTTTATTTGTTATGTTTGAAGATATTGAAACTGATCCCTCCACACATCCAACTGCAGGACCATTATTTATGCAGAGATCAAAAAGTGATGTTAGAAGTAAGTTATTTTAATTTTAGAAATTTTTTCTTATTTTATCAAAATAATTATTTAAATCAGACCTGGCCCACTAGTGGCCTATCTGTTCTTTCTTGAAGCCTGCTGATGATTCTTAATTGCATTATATTTAATTAATATTCAGAAAGGTAATGTTTGTTTTACTTGATTAAAATAGGTACATCACCATCAAAAGTTTCAATAAACTGTCTAGATTTGAACACACAACCACATGTACAAAGTTTTAAATGTAATTATTGCCACAAGAATAACGTTACTTGTAGCAACCCACTTTGTTGTGAAGCATCTTAAGGTTGCCAGTACAGAGTTTCTGACAAGGAACAATATATAAAGAGTGCATGCACAATCTGGTAGATTCAGATGCTTTTTTTCCTTCTCAGTAAATGTGGCTTGCAGAATGATTTTGATTTTCCAGGCCTGATTTAAACATCTCACAATTAAAATAATAAGTAGATTAAGAAATTAGTAATAAAATGATGTATAAATTTTATTTCCAGAATATTAATATATGTATATGTTACCGCTAAAGCTCGAAATCCGTTAATGTGTACTTTACCTAGCTAATCTGCAGATTAACTAGGGTGATCGGTTAAAGCTGCGAAAATTATTCCATTTCTCAAATTACCTAGGTAATNATCGGTTAGAATTTTACTTTTCTCATTTATTATTATTTTTAAATTTTAGAAGTTGAATTAATTTTTTATATAAATATATAAGTTTATGGCATTATATTTTACAGAAAGATGGAGTGCCTGATGATTATGATCAACGTGATCCAGACCACAGAACAATTTATAGGTTTGTAAGAACCCTTTTTAATGCTGCACAATTAACAGCTGAATGTGCCATTATTACTCTAGTAAGTAATATTTTATTAAAATTATGATTACTTAAGTTATATGATAGCATGTAATTGTGCTTTATTGTATTTTATGGCATGTAACATGCAACTTTTGTCCAAAAAAGGCTCTTTTCTGCATTTTATATGAAATTGCAATTTTCTGTATGCTGAATTCCTCAAAGGACTTCAGTATAGGCTTTTGGTAACCATTACCTAGCCCAACTCTTGAATAAATGTTGTTTAATTAAACATATTTTTATTTTTGCCATAGTTATGCAGCTTTTGCACATATTCATATAGACTATTTTATTTGTGAATGACTGCTTTTTTCCCTGATAAATAAAAGTATGCATTCTAATTTACTTTTTTTAAACAAGAATATAGTTTAAAAAATTTTGGGTCAAGTATCAAGGTCTATGTAGGATGGTGGTAGGATGGTATAGGATTAAATGCACTAAATATTTTCATCAAATATTTCTGTGCTGAAATGGTAGTGTTTCTTATATGTCATAAAATACAGTATTTAATGACATATATTTATATTCTCTATTTTAAGTATCAATAAACTATAAGGATGAATGCACACGTGGTGTGTCAGAATGACATATTTTTTTTGCTGTAGTGGCAGAAGTTGATATTCTGCCACTTTTCTTATGCTGCAAAAGTTTGTTGAATTCTATCTTTTTCAGCAGCTGCAGCCAAGATTCTGTCAGTCAGTTTCTCAGTTAACATGAAATCATGTGTTGTTTTAATGGTGGAAAGTTTAATGCTGTTAATTGAGTAACTGACAATAGAATAAAGAGGAAAGAATAATAAATTCAACACACATTCTACACTAATCATATATAATTTAAGTCAAAGGACAAAGCAAACGAATCTTACTCGAAATAGTATTCTTTATCAAGAGATTTTAATCAAGGAATAAGCATATTTTGTACTCCAGTTCTTTCTTTATTTAAGAAAATATCTCTAATCCAAAATCTTTGTTTGAATCTTTGACAGAATCTTCTAGCTAAATAAAGAGAACCATACAAAATGAAATTTGTAAACACCTGGATAATGACAGTGACAGTATTGTTCACTATTTGAAATACTGTATGCATGTGCCAAAATCTAAGCAGATTGTTGCTTGTGAGGTCATGCTGCTGTGTGGCAAAGATGTGTTTGCAACACTGCTTTTCATTGCCTCACTGCATGGGTGCATCTACAGTAACAGTTCTGGTTTCTGATATATTTGAAAATTACGAATATTTCTCATGAAATAAATTCTATAAACTGCTTTGGTTTTGTTCCTTTTTAAAATGTATATACTGTATATTAATGTACATTACTCAAAATGTGTTCACATTTTAATGAAATTTAATTCATATAACGTAGAGAATTCAATAGTTATTCAATTTTATAGCCAAAGTTTACAATTTTTTATTCATGTAAATATTTTGAAATATAGCATTTCTAATTAAATTATTCCAAATTTTACTTTAAAATTTATTGATGTTTTCATGTCTGACAAAATTAATGATTTTTTATATAGAAGACTAAATGTAATATAAACATTTATTTTCACTTCATAATTATTTTTGTGAAAATAAATTAATCCCATTTATACTTTTTTAAATTTCAAGAGTAAATACACACACTCACTCACACTCCTCTCACTCAATTATACTCACATTACTCTCAAGCAAGGTTAGAGTCTGATTTAGATGCAAGAATATTCAATGTTTCAATACTCTCTCTAAATCCTATTCTAAATTCTTTAGCTTCAGTTTTAAATTCAGTATGATTAAAATTGTAATTTTATTAAGTTTTGAGTTTATATATATTATAGTAAATGGCGAAATAAAATATTTCATCAAAAAATTTTTAAAATTTATAATCTTTCAACTTTTATTTCTTATTTTTATTTTATCCCTGATATCATTTATTAAAGAAGGAAAGTATTTTATAAAGTTTTTTGTAATTCAACATTATTTTATTTTTCTGCTATATTATTTTGTAATGTAATTCATTGTCATATCATGGATTAAAGTATACATTAGTTTTTGTTGTGTGAGAAGATTGTTTATAATAATTATTTTAAGTTATAAATAGGAAATCCAAAACCAGATTTTGCATTGTTGTCAAATCTTAAGTTTATATTTTAAAGATGATTTTTACTAGAAAATTTTATTTTAGATTTAAAAAACTAAACACAAATAGGAAATTATAAACCCAAATATATTCTGTTAACTAAAATGGTAAATACAGGCATCATTGGCATTTGAATGTTTGAAAGCATAATAATATAGTTTTGTTATAAAGACAATTCCATTCCTATGGAGCTAAAAAGAAAAAAATTGTAAAATTTCTTATTAAAGTAGAAAAGTTTTATATTTTTACAGTGAATATGTTATATATAATGCATAAAAATACACATTTGTAGAATATTAAAATGATGGATTAAATAGAAAACAGGGAATAAAAATGATTTTTTTAATGATTTTTTTATTAGTAAATCCAAAATTGGAAAAGAGTTCCACTGCAGAATAGCTCAAAATTTTTGTTTGTTATATGAAAGTGTATAAAAGTATAAATTTGGTATATAAAAAATGATTTAGGGGTATTAAAGTGCTACATACAAAAGTGCAAGTTGCTCAAAAGTTGAAAATTGCCTGTAAAAAATGAATAAGTGAACTGATTTCATTTCTGTAATCTAAATTATTAATAGTAATATAATTAATAAAAACCTTTGTATGTTAACTGTAAGGATAAATTAGGCACTGGAGTTAATGTATTGAATTAATCAACACTGGGTGAAGTTGAAGGAATGTTAATATTTTTGATCAGTTAACAGGATATCTTTGAGTATGAACAAATAAAAATGGAATGCCAATGTCAATTAGAAAGGAATACTAAACTGGCAAGATGAGGCAGGCTGTGACAGTGCTGATTGATACAAAAGGCTTAGATATTCCCACCTTGATGAAGGGAGTTTATTTTTCTTATTTAAACAGCTGTTGGTAACAATGTAATAAATTTCACACTTTTCTACAATGATTGCATGAGCGGGATGAGAGACAATTCTGATGATTTTGGATATCTATGTACTGTAAAGTTGTGTAAAGAAAAATAAAACTTTAGCAGATTGATCTTTCTCTTTTAATATCATTGTTAGATAAACTTCTGATTGTGGGATCTTCAGGTATATTTGATATTTTGTGTGTTGATGATGATTATGGCTTTTATTATATACGCTCCACTGCTTCATTTATCATTCTTGAAGTCTTTATCATACTTCAAAACTTCACAACTTATTTTCAGGTCCATTGCTCATAGTAATAATTAATGCATAACTTTCGAATGCAGCCCAACTCTATGCTACTTCATAATGAATTATAAAGACCTTATGGATAACAAATGGAGAGAGTGTCATTCCACCCCTAAACAAAAAGACTGGGATCAATAAAGCTAATGTTGGATTACATGTCAAGATAAGAAGCTCACTGACATAAAGATGATATTAAGTGTAGAATCTACTGCAGTTTCGTCTTCCTTTTGCACAACTTTCCAGTACTGAAACAGATTGGTTAATGGTCAAAATTATCAGCACTATCTCTTACCCTTTCCTTGCCAGCATTGTAGAAGTGAGTGAAATTTATAATACCAGTGTTATGAATACATGCTCAGACAACAGGGACAAGGACTCCTTCCTTCGTCTTGGCCAATATCTCCTGGATCTATCTTTCAATCACCCTTGCTCTTGCTTATCCTATTCCATCTTTTATCCTAACCAATACTGGCATTGCATTGTTATCTGTCCATGCTTGAAGATGGCTTGATAACTGGGTAAAAAATGTTGGTGTTTTTTCAACTTTGTCCAGTTTGTACTTTATCCATTATATCACTAGTAATTTTAAATTAAAAGTTATAAATACGTTATTCCTGCTTTGTGTAAGATATATTTAGTTTATAAGCAAATAATGATTGATGTAAATAAAGAAATATAAAAATTTAGGTGTACTTAGAAAGACTGTTAACGTATGCTGAAGTTGATATAGTGCCAAGTACATGGAAAAGGATTGTTTTAGGAGCAATATTATTAGCTTCAAAAGTTTGGGATGATCAAGCCGTCTGGAATGTGGATTATTGTCAAATTCTTAAAGATATAACTGTGGAAGATATGTAAGTGGCTGATATTATTTATTTAGATAAAATTATTTACAAAGTTTTTGAAATATTAGGAATTTAAATAAATCATGATAAAAACTGAATATTGATATATTATCTATCAATTTATTTAGAGTTGCTTAACAAATTTAATATTAAACAAATATCAGGTTTNTATTTTTTATATGAGTTAAGTTAAATATGGCACATTAACGTACTAATTAATAATTGCTTGAATTGATTAATAAAAAATCAACAAATATATTGCCAATTATATTGATTTATATGACAAAAATGTTGCGTGTTAGGCCTAAATCTTATGATTTAGGCCTAACTGACCTGAGATCGAAAAAAATATAAATAAGCCATGTAACTTCGTTATTATTTTAAAACTGTATAATTTATATTCATATTACATAATTTATATACTTTTGTATTGATAATATCTAATAAATCGAATTTCTAAATTTCAATCAGTGCGAATGCTATCTTATGTACATTTGCTGAACCAACTAAATTACGAAAAATGGCTAACTTCAGAAAAAATCTACTAATAATATAGATACAGTACATCATTATTTTGAATAAATTCATCGATCTACTATATATTTCATACATAAAAATAATAATTTTTAAGTTATATTGCAGTTTATAATTTTTTTCATTTTATTTTTATCTCTAAAACACGTCCGAATAACATTGAAGTATAAAACATAAGAACAAGACACACACACATCAAAATTAAGTAATGTACAGATAAATGTTCATATCGGACACTCTTTTTACTTTTTACCTAGCTTTACTCTATCGTTTTTTATTTTTAGTAGAAAATATTGTAAAATCGCGAAAATCAGTCAGAAGATAGGTAAGGAACTAGGTCAACTGGACCAGTGGGGTAAGTGTTAAAACAGTGATAATTATTGGTTGTTTTTCACAATTATAAAAACTATTTTTTAATCATTTTAGTCAAAATTTTTATTTTGTACCTTTTTTTAGGATGAAAATAAATTAATTGAATATCAGTTATTTATTATGAGAAAAATTGGTTTTATATTTGTCATTTTTCATATTTGTTAGATCCTTAGGAACAGATTAATGATGAATATAGAGGTTCCACTACATCAATTTATTTTATATGATTTTTTAAAAAATGTACAAACTTTTGGGAACATACTGTGTATTTATGTGCATTATGGGTCATGTGATTAATATGTCATTATCAATGTGACTGTGTATCCTGGTAAATATTAATTAATTTATTAAATTGATCAGACATTATGAATAAAGCTACATTTCCTTTGGGAAAATTGATTTTAAAAAGTCACTTTCTTTTCCATTAAGAATTGTTCATTTTTGTGAATTATTTCAAAGTATTTTAGGAACAACATGCACATTATATGGCTAATATTAATATATTAATTACATAAAATCTTTAATAATCAATAGACACTATATAATAATTAGAATCATTATTAACAAGTTTATTTTGGCAATTTCTTTGTACATAACTCTCAACAAAATAATTAGTGAAAATTTCACTTAAAATTAAAAGTGTAAATATTATTAACTGTATTAATTAAACTAATGTTAATAAAAGGTATTATTAACAAAATTATGTAATTCAATCATAAAAATCAACATAACATACAAATAACACCTTATCCTTGCCAAGGAAATATTTATTTCATAAAAACAAATGCTTTCAGTCTGATTTACAGGCCATCATCAGGTTGTGAATGAAATTAGAAGTAAAGTATTCCAAAATAGAATATAAATTCAAAAAATCAAATAACTTACGGAATAACATTAAATAAAATAAATTAAAATAAAACAAAAAATTAATCATGTGAAAAATATAAAATAAGAATATAAGATTGTTTACTAACAATATCTCTAATAAAATTAAAATTACTAATTTAATTAGTTGGAATTCTTAGTAAATTTTTTAATCATAAACTTCCATGCAGAGGGAAGACTTTCTGCATCCCTCGCATTTAAACATCCTTCATGTAGTTTACTCTTATAAATTTGGATCTTTTCCGTCGTTGCCACCAAAGATGGAAAATATACAGATTTGATGATGGCTGCATCATTCCATTTGACTACAGAGTCTTGCATCTGTGCCATTTGTGACAGAATTGTTGCATTGGATTCTTTTCTTATATTAATGTTCTTTGAGTCTAATTCCCAAACTTCTTGTGGTTACTCTGATATAATCTTTCTTAATAAGCAATTGCTTATTTTCGTATGGAATTCTGTAAACTCCCAGTTTTTCTTCGGACTTTATGCTATTTTTATCATTTCTGAAGATTTTATATAAATTTGGGGCTCTTTTTATAAGCATTCTGGAACCTTTCTTGTCTGCAACTTCCTTCATAACGTTATTCATATTTTCATTATAGGTAAACTTCACGACTCCAGTCAGGATACTTTTGCATGACCTTTTTTTGTTGTTCACTTTGTATTTATTTACCATTCCTAAGATTGTGCTTTTGTGGTAACCCAGGGTCTGGGCCACATTCATTATTCTATTTATTTCTTTAATCCTGTCCTGGATTCTGTCACAATACAAGATAATTGGAAGCTTGGATAGAAGAGTCAGGAAACTAGAAATCTCTAATATTGCCACGGCTTTACCATTTCTCAAGATATGCGAGAACACTAGACCTGGAACACCTAGGTTGTTCGCTTTTGCTAAAGTACACAAAGCAGATAAAGAAATAAGGTCAGTGGTGGAAAAATGCAGAGGACCCACATTTCTGTTAGAAAAGAGATTACATGAGTATTTAACATCACAGATAGGCACAAATACACTTGTCACACGTAATCCTCAGAAAATAGTCAAAGATTTACAAAATATTTCATTGATGGAGGATAAGGTCACAACCATTTTCAACTAAGAAAATATGTATCCTTCAGTTAAGATAGAATCATGTGTTGAGGCACTTTTGGATTTCTTATACAGCAATAACACAGAGTTGCTTGCTTACACTAACGAAGTGGAGGATCTAGCTAAATTGGTATGTCATGAATCTTGTTTCATTTTTAATGGACAGACATACAGGCAGAGAAGAGGGGTCCCTATGGGAAGCCCACTCTCAGGGATCCTATGCAAATTGGTGCTTAGGAGACTAGAAGGAGGAATTATTCAAAATTTCAAAGAAGATATCGTTTACTTTAGCAGATATGTTGATGACCTTATAATATGGAAAAATAACAGCAGAATTAAAGAATTTATGGACAAGATCAATCATAATAATGATGGCCTTAGATTAAGATTGGAACAGAAGAGTTCTGTAGAAGTGCATTTTCTAGACATCAACATCAAGTTCAAAAAAGGTCATCTATCCACTAGCGTTTTTATTAAACCATCCCACAACCCATTATATATACCATCCCATTCCAAGGATCTGTTCAAATATAAAATTGCGGCCTTTTGTGCGCTGATAAGAAAGGCATTTTTGTATTGTGACAGAATCCAGGACAGGATTAAAGAAATAAATAGAATAATGAATGTGGCCCAGACCCTGGGTTACCACAAAAGCACAATCTTAGGAATGGTAAATAAATACGAAGTGAACAACAAAAAAAGGTCATGCAAAAGTATCCTGACTGGAGTCATGAAGTTTACCTATAATGAAAATATGAATAACGTTATGAAGGAAGTTGCAGACAAGAAAGGTTCCAGAATGCTTATAAAAAGAGCCCCAAATTTATATAAAATCTTCAGAAATGATAAAAATAGCATAAAGTCCGAAGAAAAACTGGGAGTTTACAGAATTCCATACGAAAATAAGCAATTGCTTATTAAGAAAGATTATATCAGAGTAACCACAAGAAGTTTGGGAATTAGACTCAAAGAACATTAATATAAGAAAAGAATCCAATGCAACAATTCTGTCACAAATGGCACAGATGCAAGACTCTGTAGTCAAATGGAATGATGCAGCCATCATCAAATCTGTATATTTTCCATCTTTGGTGGCAACGACGGAAAAGATCCAAATTTATAAGAGTAAACTACATGAAGGATGTTTAAATGCGAGGGATGCAGAAAGTCTTCCCTCTGCATGGAAGTTTATGATTAAAAAATTTACTAAGAATTCCAACTAATTAAATTAGTAATTTTAATTTTATTAGAGATATTGTTAGTAAACAATCTTATACTCTTATTTTATATTTTTCACATGATTAATTTTTGTTTAGTTTTAATTTATTTTATTTTATGTTATTCTGTTAGTTATTTAATTTTTTGTTTTAGTTCTAATTTCATTCACAACCTGATGATGGTCTGTGAATCAGGCTGAAAACGTTTGTTTTTATGAAATAAATATTTTCTCAGCAAGGATAAGATGTTAGTT